CGCTGCCTCCATCCGCTCGGGGCGACAGACCCGGGGCGCAGGGCGCTGGTTCCCCGGGACGCTCCCGCCCGGCTGCCGGGGGCTATTTATAGCGCCCGGGCGTCACGTGGACCGGGTGGCCGGTGACCGGCTGGCGACCTGGCTTGTTGTGGCTCCCACACCTGCCGCCTAAATATAACCGTGGACCCGCCGCGCCCTGCAAACAAAGGGGCGACGGAGGGCCGAGCGCAGAGGAAGCGCCGAGGAGGAAGGGGAAATGCAAGGGCAGAGGGGAGGGCCGCTGACCGCCGCGGGGCGGGGCCCCTGCCTCCAGGCGCGGCCTTCCTCCTGCCGAGTGCGCGCAGCCCTGGAACCCTCTGGGGCTCCCCATGGCCCGGCGCGCTGGAGGGAGTCCCCTGCAGGGGGGCTCCGCGCCGCGAAGGACAAGATAAAAGCGCAACATGCTCTCGATGGGCACCAGCACAGCCCAAGGCCTGGACCCACAGCTCCCAACTTTGAAAATGCTAAGAAGGGGGCCCTGGTGGGTTAACAAGGCTGACACCTCCAGGATGAGGGCCTCGCCTGCTCAGACTTCTGCTCGGTCCCTGGCCTCATGCTGAGGACCCCTCTACTTCCTGAGCGCCTGCTGTACCAGACACCACTGCCCCTCACTGAACCCTCGCACATGGACGTGAGGGAGCTGTGATTCCCCACCATGTCCCCAGTGTGCAGCTGAGGACTGGAGGCACTGGGACGCAGAGCCCACACAGGGTCCCACAGGAGGGCATGAGCCACAGGGTGCTGTCTCCACATCAGCTCATCCTCTAGGGCTCACTGGATGCCCTCTCCCCAGGAGGCCCTACATGACATTCCCAGGCAAAACCTTCCCCAGGGTCCTGGCTTTGCTTCCAGAGAGCACCATGTGCAGGCGCAAGTTCTCCTGGGATTGTTGGCCCCAAGAGTGACTGACACCATGATGGCCAATGCCCTACCTGCCCTGCCAGCCCAGAGACCCTCAGAAAGGGGGGAAGTTGGATGGGAAGACCCCCAGCACACAGGTCCCTGGAGGCTGAGCCTCGATGGGAACCCTGCTCTGAGCCCAGCTCCCAGACAGACAGCCCAGCCTCTGCAATCAGCAGTCAGCACCCCAGGGGCAGCCAGGGGAGCTGGCCAGGGACCCAGCTGAGAACACGGCACTTTCCTGGGCTCTCCACACACACACACACACACACACACACACACACACACACACACATTCAGAGCATCAGCCATGCCCGTGACCCTGGATCACAGATGGATGGACCACTATACAATGTAGAAGGACTCTGCAGGAGCCCCACCCACAAACACACCCCCAACCAAGCCAGGGGGTCTGCCACCAGCTC